CTCTCTCTCTCTCTCTCTCTCTCTCTCTCTCTCTCTCTCTCTCTCTCCCTTCTTCCCTCCCTCTATCTCTTCTTTGTCTCTATCTACACACAGATACACTCACACATACAAATATGTACATATAAATTCAAAAGTACAAAAATTTTATAGTTGTATTATAACATTCAAAATGCCTAGTTTTGACAGCATAAACAACAGAGCCTGCAATGTATACAAAAAGCAAAAGATCTACTTAGTTTTATGGAAGAAAATGGAAAATACATTTACAGAAGCCTTACAGAATTCTTAACTTTATATTGGGTTATTTATGTATTGATCTATCCAGGTATCTTTACAGAAGTATATTTTGTTTTTCCTTATCACCTAGTGTTCCTTCATTTCATCTGAAAAACATTAACAATAAACTTCTTAAACTATAATTTATTTAAATTTGCATCAATTTTCTCTCATTTACAAATTTAATTTAAAATGTTTTAATTTATAATATATGTATTTGTGTGTTTTATCTGTGTGAGTGAATGCTACTGTGTGTGAGTACCCATAAAGGACAGAAGAGTGTGTCAGATGCCTTGGAATTGTAGTTAGTTGTAAGTTACCCAGTGTGGCTCAAGGACTTAAACTCGGGTTCCTGAAAGAGCAGAAATTGTCCTTTTTCATGTAGCTACTTCTTTAACCTTTCTATTTTGTTTTGTAGTTGTTTTCTGGGAAATACGATTCTGTGTTGAAAGGTCTTATTGTTTAGATATTCATCCAAAATTCATGCTGAAATGTAATTGTCTATTTTGTTGGACTAAGAGAAGGAATCTAGCCCTGTGGAGATGACTCACTTAAGAAACAAAGCCCTCTGTTGCCAAGCAAGTGTGTGGACTAGTGTCTGGAAGCCAACACCTATATAAAAGCTAGTGATCATGATGGCTTGCCTGTAATCACAGTTTTCAGGATACAAAGACAGAATCCCAAATCTAGCCAAATCTGTGAACTCTAGGTTTAGCTAGAAGGCCATGAGAGAAGACACTGACATCAAACTCTGACCTCTACACACATGCACAGACATACACACATACTTGCACACAAATATGAACTTGTATATCCACAAGCACACATACTCCAACCATACAGTATTATGGCAACACTAAATTAGTACAATTTAAATTATCGATATAAAAAAGAAAGAAAATGAAAATAGAAAAACAACAGCCAAAATAGAAGCTAATATTTAGTCAGTGTATATTCTGATTTCCAGTATATTTTTTAAAAGGATAAATATTAAAAGATAGTTGGGTTTTTTCTTTTTAAAAAAAATAAATTGAAATCATTTGTCCATAAAAAGCTACACACAACTCCATATAATCAGTAAGATTCAAAGCCACCTAAGAAATTTAAGTAGCCTCATGAAGGCCTATTTGGAGGTGGTATTAATTTACTTTTTCTACCTATCCTGGCGTCATAGAATGTGGCCTGTGTTCAAAAAGGTGCTGGGTATATTCTGCCTAGCTATTCCTTCAGTGTCTGGTTTCATTTGGAATGTGGTCAAATGACTAACACCAGAACTTAGGGTAGCTACTTGATGTTCATAAGGTCAGACACGTGGGGAGTAAGGTCTTAGCCTCTGTCCCAGTTCCACTCAGCCAGTACTAATTTCATAGACACAATCCTTTGCCTCTTTGGGCTTATGTCTTTACCAGAGGCACAAAACTACTTACTTCCCAATTTTTGTTGAGATTAGTTATGTATAAAAGCCAAAGCCAATTTTTACCCTGCTATTCCTCTCTACATTGATCCACCATGGAGCAATGGTCCTATGCCATAAATGGTCCTGATTTACTTTCATGGTTTCTGCAGTTACTTTAGTACATGTACTCATGTCTGAAGATTCAGAGCTAGCAACTTAACAGAAAACATGTGGCATTTGGCTTCAGGATCTGGGTTACCTAATTCAGTATGATCATTTCAAGTTCCATCCATTTACCTGCAAAATTCATTATTTAATTGTTCTTTACCACTGAATAGTATTCATTAGTCTATATGTCTTCTGTTTTCAGGATTCATTTTTGAATGAAGGGCATGTGGGAGTTTTGTTGGTTTTTTGTCCTTCTTATCTATTGTAAGTAGAACAGCAATGAATAACTAGGATAAGCAAATATCTGTGGAGTAGGATGTAGAATCCTATCGAGATTTGTCAGAGTTGTGCCTTAGTCAATGTTCTATCACTGTGAAGAGACAACATAACAATGGCAACTCTTATTTTAAAAAATTATCAGGGCTTGCTTACAGTGTCAGGTCATTATGAGCAAGGTGGGAAGCATTGTGGTGTGTAGGGAGACATGGTGCTGGAGGAGGAGCTGAGAGTTCTATATCTAGATATACATGTAGCAAGAAAAGAAAGAGCTGCTGGGCCTAGCTTGAGATTCTGAAACACCAAAGTACAACAATGGAAATATATTTCTTCCAACAAGGCCACAAGGGCATATATGCCCAGTCCAACAAGGGCATATATCTTTAGCTCTCTCATTTAGAGTCATTCCATAATGACTAAGCATTCAAATATTTGATCCCATGGGACTATTTCTATTCAAACCACCACAGATGGTATAGTTTGATCATATGGTATATTTATTTTTAACTTTTTGATAATTCTCCATAATGACCTGCATAATAGCAGCATGAGTTTACAAACTCATGAAGAGTAAATGATGCTTTCCTATTTCTCAGCATCCTCTTCAGCATTTGGTTAGTTATTCCATTGATCTTTGCCATTCTGACAAGATAAGATGAAATTTTCAAAGTTGTGTTGATTTGCATTTCTCTAATTGCAACAGACAATGTACATTTTGAAGGTATTTCTTAGAAATAATTTTTTTCTTTTGAGAATTCTCTGTTAAGTTCTTAAGCCCACTTTACAAATGGGAGATATATATATATATATATATATATATATATATATATATATATATAACATTCTCATTCTTTGTGCTTCCTTTTTTCAAAAAACACCTTTTTTAACGAATCTTTGTGAATTTCACATAATGCACCCCAATTTTGAGCATTTTCTCTTCCCTTTATACCCGCCTACAACGCTTGCAACCGACTGTCTCCCAACAGAGAAAAAAATCTCATTGTGAATGCTATAGTGTGCTACAGTGTGTGTCCCAAGCTATCCATTTATCCACACTTCTTTGCTTCCAAATGTTCATTACCCCTGGCTTCAGCTACCCTATCAACACTGAAACTTCATTAGGACTCTTAGATACCCTGTTGCCCTCTGTCATGGAAATTCTGTAGTTTGGGATATGTATAAAGTAACTGGCCTGTTCATAAAGTCCAGCTGTTCATTTCATTGATGGAGTAGATATTGAGGCGAACAAATTCAAAGCCCATGATTTGGTCCTGAGAGGTATCTGAGCTGGTCAGTCCTATAGAAAGAATCTTTTCGAAATACATAGAAGCATCACCTCTCGATAAATAAATAAATAAATAAATAAATAAATAAATAAATAAATAAATAAAATAGAACCTATGGCCAATGAGATGAGATGGGATTAGAAGGTAGGACATCTGGCAGAGAAAGATAGAATTCTGAGAAATAGTCAGATGTAAGAGAGCTGCCCTGGATGCTGAAGGAGACATCTGTATGAAATGAAGCTGAGGTAACCAACTATGTGGAGGGAATAGAATGGAATAAATGGGTAATTAAGTTATAAGTCAGTTGGAGAACAAGATAAAGCTTTTGGCTTAGGCACTTATTACTGAAATATTGAGTCTCAGCATCATAATTTCTGATAACAAAGAGGCCAAGTAGAAAAGCCACTGTTATAGATGGTGTCCAACATAGGACTAGAGTCCAGGCTTAGAGAAGCCACTAGTAATGACAATTTTGTACTCTGCTCTACTAAGTGGAGCAGCTGAAGTCCAGCTAGCCACAAGAGGCAGCAAATGTTTGGAGTTGGACAAACTGCAAAGCTCTTTTAGATCCCTTGCTGTACAACATGGCTGGTGACCTGCTGCTGGAGTCATGAATGGGACCTTTGAACTCACCTCAGTAGGCAGAAGCCAGAACTGCACAGCAGTCTCTTGGGCAAGTCTATCGGGTAGAAAATCCACTGAGCTCTCCACACAATTCTCCAGCTCTCACAATCTCAGGCCCTGAGAAGTGGCTCAGGAGCAATCCCCATATCCAGGGTCAGCTCTACTGTTATGCCCAGATGAAGGGCAGGAACAACTCTCCTGCACTCATGATCCCGGGGCCAGCTTTTTCACCTTCAATGGGTGGCAAAGGGCTAGGATAGGGGAGACAATCTCCTCCTCACCATGCTACTGTATAGCAGACAAGTTGCAGAACCAGCTTTCCTGTGTCACATTTTCTTTTTGCTCCTTCTCTTCCATTTCTCTATCACTTACTTGCTCCTCTTCGTGGTACCTAAGATCTCTAACTATCTGGAGTCAATTCAGGAATGGTTTAAGGAAAGCTACACCCTGCTAATTCATTATGGCATCTGGCAGGGGTCAGCTTGGGCATGGTTTGCCTTCCAAGATCATTGGGGCACTGGACTGGAGGTCATCTCAGGTTAGCTCCATGTCAGACACCCTGGCATGAGTCTAGTGGTCATTGAAAGCTCAATCCTCACCCAGCTTACCTTAGTGGTCCCGTGTGAAGGTTGTCTGTATCAGACTCACTTCTGCCAAGGACTCTGGTCCAAGCCAGGGTTCTTCTAGTCTCCCACTTGTTCCCCGTTCTGGGAGTCCATCAGGGTTTCTGCAGTGTAGATTGTTGGTTGTCTCAGACCCTCTCACACCAAACTGGTAGTCAACTCAGGCTTGTATTTCTCAGGGAATGTTAGGCTAATAACCATTCAGACATTCATATGTCAGGACACTGAGCATATACATAACCTGTCTCCTCTCTTCCACCTACTGATTCACATGGGACATCATAGCCAAACCTGCAATACCTCTAGGGGGCTTCTTTCTTAACTGGATCAGTCTTTCTTTAGCTATGGAGAAGCCATTTAGTTTATAAAGTCCCACTTATCAATTTTTGACCTTAATTCTTAAGCATAAAGTGTCCTTCCTATACCTACATCCTGAAGCATACTACTAAATATTGATTCTTTACTTTCATTTTTTTTTTCAGTTTTAGGTAGGTTTGATGCTTGTATCTTTGGTCAATTTCAAGTTAGTTTTTGTGAAAGGCAATAAATACAAATTTAATTTTATTCATCTGCTTGTACACATCTAGTTGTTAGAGAAATGTGAAAAGGGGAAGATCTGATGATGGAGTGAGGAGATAAATACAAAAGAAGGAAGGTAAAATAATAGTAAGAATGTCTTAAAAGACCATAAATAATCATACTATTAATGATTTATATAAAATTAAAACCTTTTACACACATACACACACACACATATATATATATACATATATGTGTATATATATGTATATATATATACATATATATACACATATATGTATATGTCTATGTTTGAATATGTACATATAGTTTAAATGAAAGTTTAACATCTGGATTGATGGTGCTCCCTCTAAACACCAAAGTCCACCTAACAAAAACCCCAACGCTAAATATGAGAAGCCCTCTTTTGAGTTCTTGTTCAGAATTAGCCAAGGAGCTTCCAAAACTTACAGATTATAGCTGTTGCACTTGATTCCCCCCAGAAGTGGAAAAGAAGTCCCTACTGCTTAAGACTCCATGTGCTTCAAACAAAACACCAGAGGACCCATGCTGGGTCTTATCTGAGTGTTACTTCTCTGAGGACTAACATTTATAATACCAGGAAGCATCATGCAAGGTTCCAAAGGAGGGAAGCAAGCAACAGTCTTACCCCAGGTATGACACCTGTGAGCCACATCAAGAACCAAAATGTCATAATACCTCTAAGTATGCAGTGGTGCTACTCATACCGTGACAGTAACCAACAGTTAGTTTTCTGACTGGACTTGTGATCTGCTCAACAATAGAGAAACCATACCTGAAACAGAAAACCTGTCATGTGTCTTGGGGGTCTTGGGGAGAACCTAAAACCAGAACTTGACTAACCAAGCATAAGTTTCAACTTTCTCTCTCTCTCTCTCTCTCTCTCTCTCTCTCTCTCTCTCTCTCTCTCCCTCCCTCTC